TAAAAACGGGAGAGATCCAGGCGTGATGGCGAGCGTGCGTTAAGCACATTCGTCCTCACGCCTGAGTCATGGGTCACCTTCCCATGGCGTTCACAACAGCTTCTCCAGGGTTTTGCACTCTGCCAGCCCTGGTGTTGGGAGGATCTCACCATGGTGGGCGGGAGTCATGTGGCGGTCCACCACTGACAGCGGGGCCCACCATTCACTTAGCTCCTTTTATTATTAAAAAAAAAAAAAAAAAAACTGAAGCGAACCTCTGCGCTGAATAATTTGTTCAGTCTAGTCAACCGTAAAAACCTCATGCATTAAAAGTAGGTAATCTTGCCGTTCGAGCTGTACCATCATCTCCCGGTCATCTTGCATGCCTCGCAATTGGACGAATTAGAATAAGCCACGTTCTCTTTCCTCAGAGAAATTGATCGTACCAATGGCGTATTTTTATGGACTGAAATCCATAAAGCTTTAAAGAAAACTCGATGCGTCGCCGTCCCAATCACTTCCCATCAACTTCTTCTCCTCAAATTTGGCTTTTAATCTTTACTCTTGCTCTTTTTGGCCCACACGATATATAAAATCGTTAAAGCTTAAAGAAATCGTCTCGAGTTTGCCTCTCTTCCTATCGTCCTGTAGCGCTGTGAGTTTTAAGTGTTTTGCGGAGGTGTATCCAGAGTCGGACTGGTGACTTAGGTGCCCCCCAGGAAATTGCTGACAAGGGGCCCCCGCAGGGTGACCGGGACCCTTTGGTCTGGTTCCCCCCCCCCCCCCCCCCCCTGGGAAATTTCCCGGTATTCCAGTTGGCTAGTCCGACCATGGGTGCATCCTGGAGTCTTGTTTATTCTTTACGTGAGGGAACAGGAATTTTTAACGTTAATTCTCATTTTCTGTAGTTTCCCTTCAACGAAATCCTATTCCTGAGAGTATTTCTATGATTCTATCCCAAAGCAAGGCAAATTTAATTTAACTAAAATAGGAGCAATGTATCCGTTAGTAACTAACCAGGTAATTGACGCACCTCTGCCAAAAACATTTATCTTTAGAGGATAGGCCTATCCTACATTGGGGGAAGGAGTTAGGATGAGAGCTCAGCCGAAGCAAGGGATCTTGGTGTGGACGGAAATACCTTGGCGCCCTTGCCTAAACCTTGAACTGGTAGGCAACTCCAACTGGCAACACTGCTGAATCACGTGGTGTACGTAGTGTGGAGACATGGCGGCCTATAGGAATAACAACGAGTGGAGAGATATGCGGGATGTTAGATAGATTCTTTTTACGTGTGACGACCGTTAGGCCCATGATATGCAGGCGTATTGTTGGTGCCTAAATAGTTGGATCATGTCCATTCATTGGTTTTTTGCCTCAACTGATTGAGTCTGGGCGGTTTTGTACACTGCGTTCGGCCTCAACACGTTCGTCGTCTGGTCTATCTTAATTGTCCTAACTTAGGCCTTCTTTTCGGCTACTCTACAAGCCTCGACCAAGAAGCTGGATCGACGGAACTTTGCATATAGTTCCTTTAGGCCTAGGCATGACTGGCCAGGGGTCGAGGGTAATTTTGTTGGCTTGTGGATCCTTCAATCCGCCAACTTACATGCATCTTCGGATGTTCGGTAAGTTTAAGTCCAATTTGAAATTGCTCGATTTATCAGGGATGGGCCCAACTTCAGATCAGGGTGCCAGGCCAGACTTGTGACAACAATACACTGTTGCATATTCTTGCAAGCAATATTGGATTTTAATGGCTAGTATTGCAGGACTGGGAGGCATGTATAATTGATTAATTTTCCCAGAGACTGGGATGTCAATTCTGGGGGACATTGTTAAACTCAGAGTCTGTCAGAGTTATAGTTGCATGAAACCACTCTAGTACTTGAGTCTGGGTCTATGCCATCAAGTCCATTTCCTCAGTCACCCATAGAGACATGGCAGTTCATAATGGTATTTTATGCTGTTCTGATGTTATTATTTCAATCTCATTGCATATGAGTTTGCCCTTTCTATTCCATATTGGATTTTAAAATACATAGCCCAGAGAAGAGGTTTGTGTATGTTTTAAGTCACCTGGTGGTTTGTTTTATTTTTTCATTTTTGTTTTGTTTGTTATTTTTTTTTTCCATTTCTGGAAGTTATACAAATGGAATTACCCTTAGAGAGCTGTTTTCTCAAAGAAAAGTTTATTGGCACTCTGTGGGAATAAATTTTTGCCTTGCATGGAGTTTACTGCTGCAATCAATTTAGTTAGACCTGCTTTATCTTGTTTCTCCTGATTTTGTAGAAGAACCATATTTTGCATGTTGAATGAAAGAAAAATGGCCTTGCTTTGCACATACAGAAATTGCTCGAGATTATCTCACAAGATTGAGAAAGCATGATGTGGTTGCAGGGATCATATCACCAGTTCATGATGCTTATGGTAAAAAGGTGAGCTCTCAAGTCATTCCATGCCTAATAATGCATGCTTACCCAAGGAGGAGTGAGCACCATGTAGGTTGGATAGGCTGTATTTAACCTCCTGTTTATTTCCCTCATATGGTTGTGTAACTTATATGTAAACCCACTTACTTTTTGGGAAACCTCAGCTAGAAAAATTAAATAATTTCCTCTTCATTATTACTCACAATTAGTGGAACATATTATGGTTTATATATATTTCAAATATTATAATGGCATGATGAAGCTGATGTGAAATTGTGATTTCATGCATAGTGTTTACCTTGAGACATTTTCACACTTAGAAAGGTATAGTAAGTGAACTCAGATTGGTCAGACATGGCCAGCCCTTCCCAGTGTAATTGAGGTGTATTAGTGTCACCTGCAAGGGGTCATTAGAGACATATTGCATGCATTATTTAAAAAAAGTATTCTTTGATTATCAATATTCCATAGCAATGCACAGATGCAAAATTTTGATGTTTTGAGAGATTAGAAGGTAGTCTTGATATTCCAACCTTTTCCCTGTGAAATCACTCAAATATCCCATGGTTAGTATTGCTTAGGCTACATTCAAGAAATTTTTAATGCAGGCTTTCATGCTCTACTCTTCCTGTCTGTCCAGGATCTTGTCTCATCCAATCATCGCCTCAGCATGGTGAATCTTGCCATAAAGGACTCAGATTGGCTGCATTTGAGTGATTGGGAATGTAGACAGAAAGGTTGGAGTCGTACACGTTGTGTGGTTGAACATTTTCAGGTGGGATGTTAACATATGGCTATCTCTAAGAGTCAAATATAGCTTGATTTTCTCAGTGCAATCATCTTTGTAGCTTGAAATTATCTTTCATACTGGAAACTACTATTTATAGTTCTAATATGAAGAATTTCTATAGTAATCTTCTCTTTATATAGTCCTTTATTGATAATTCTTACTTTTTCTCTGGTCTTGGAATTCATCTGTTTTATATGTTCAATGTTTCTGTTAGGAACTAGTGGATAATCACCTGATGAGTTCAGAGAGAGGAGGTGCAAGGAAAAGAGCCCGCAAGGAATCAACTCCAGAATGGTTATCTGCCATCACGGGTACTGATCCTATCACTGTCAAGTTGCTTTGTGGAGCAGACCTCTTGGAATCTTTTGCAGTGCCTGACCTTTGGGCTGGAGAGGATGTGAGTAAAGACTTTTTTGTCCACTCAAGCCAAATTGCATAATTATCTGTGCCATTTAGGGAACTACCATGTGAAATTGTGCAATGTCTCATGTTTTCATTGAGCTCCTCTTCTCCACAATTTTATAGATTTGTAATGTTTGACCAAGTAGGAAAACAGATCATGTCGTATGATTAGATGCACAATGCCTCATCAAAAAATGAAGATTTTCAGGCATGAAGTCATTAATGTATGTTTTGAATCTTTTCACTATTTTCTCAAGATGGAGTTTCTTGTTGGAGAGCATGGTTTGGTGGTTATCACACGTGAAGGTTCCAACCCTGGCAGATTCATTTATGAGTCTGACATGCTCACCAAACATCAGGTATGCTGTTTATGTTTGATGCTAACATTGCTGTCATACTCAGAGAGTATTTTAATGCAGGCAAATGATAGTTGCTTATGAATGTAAACCATTTTGTGTTATATAAAGACAAGGATTTCTATTTTGTCTGTTTGTTACAGGGAAACATTGATATTGTGACAGAGTGGGTCACAAATGAAATCAGTTCCACTAAGATTCGTAGAGCTGCAAGAAGAAATGAGAGCATACGATACTTGGTTCCGGATGCTGTCCTCAGATACATTAGTATCAATCATTTATATGGGTGCACTCGTGACATTCCTGAACTATCTGGCAGGTGAGGCATTTTGGTCATCAGAAGTTGCACACTTTCCATTCTTATGCTGACCCATCGTGTCCTATTCCCACGAGTGCTGACACTCATTGCATGTGCTAGTTTCTGCCTCTTGGACTTCCTTCCTTGCTGTTCCTGTGATTCATGGAGATTTAAAATGTTGAATTTCTTTTTTCATTTTTCATACCTTGAATGCATCAAGACTTCTTGATTTGAAAATTCTTGTCACTTTCTACCAGCCATTTTACCACATCAGCAATTTAACAGAAGTTACTTGAATTTGTTTTTGTGAAAGGAAAAGTATTAATAGAAAGTGGTTGGTATATGCAATGAACACTCATTTTGTGCTAGAGCTCCCCAGTCTTTCCATGAAAATGCTACACTCTGTGAAAGGGTAGGATGAGGGCATGAATTTTGCAAGAATTTACTGGCAAGGGAAGAGAGAAATATAGACCTTTCATTAACAGATTCATTAACAAAGAATCTTGTTCATCTGAGTGGGAGGGAGGGAGCAATTAATCAAGATTAACTTAATTTGAAGAAAACTATGCTTATTTGGGAGAAGCCATTGTTTTCTCAAGATGATAATCCAAGGGCAATTGCCAGAGGCCTAGGAGTGAGTCAGTGATCTGTTCAGTGGATTCTGAAATGCAGAGAGAGCAAAAGAATACCTTCCTTACTACATTGTTAAGAATACATTCTAATCAGTACTGTAGGTCTGAAGGTGTGCCACTGTGCAAGTGTAAAAATTAAATTCTAATAGCTTTTGTAAAATTTATTTCAGCATAAAATAATTGGAGGTAAACAGATGAAAATTTTAGAATGCTTAGAGGATAAATGGAAATATTAAGAAATTAAAGATATGCTGTCTTATAATTGCCAAAGGATTAAAAAAAGTGGTGCATTTTTTATGCATCACCTGGTACTTCTCATCAGAAGAAAGTCTAGGGGGTAGGATGTAGTGAGCATATTGAGTACTTAACTCCCTTACATCATCCTATCCATTGCTGTGGGGACCCTTCTCCCTGAATATTTACCTGTGGTAAGTCCTGAAGATATATGTATATGCAGTCTAGTTGCAGAGCATCCATTAACTTCAACAGTGAATAATTGATGCTCATGATTTCATTCCTGTTAACATGAGTTGTGAAGTTTGTTGGTCAGTGCTTGGCATTGTTGAAAATGATGGGCAATCAATTTGAACTATGATGTTAAGTTGCTTTTCTTGAGTGCCCTTCCATTGGTGTCATCCATGTCCAGCAGTTATGTTGTAAGCATACCCTACAATTCTTGTACAGATATAATGAATCTATCCAACTAAAAAATGCTTAGGTCTAACAAACAAAACAAATTTTCTGAGCCACCCTGTGTTTAGAGGAATGGTTCAATGGAATTTAAATGGTCAATATGGAGTTGAATGGGATTTGCTTTGCTAAATTGCCTGTGAGGTTTACCAGCCTGTTGGATCTTTTTATTGGAAGATTTGATTATCTGTCACACCAATATCTTTTCTGTTGATATGTGGTCAATGTGATCCTTGTCTTTCCTCTTCAAGGGTCTGAGTTGCCACATGTATATAAATTACATAGGAACACTACTGCCTGTGGCCAAAATATGAGCCTGCATCCTTAAAATTCACCATCACTTTACTGAACTGATGGCTCCAAATAATGTCAATGAATGAATGAATGCATCTTTGTTGTATTGGAGCCACAAACATGTATTATCTGATAGAATTTAACAACAAACCTATTGCCAACATTATCTCTTTTAAGCTATGACAAGATACGTTATAAACATCATTGGGTATGCCATGCTTCTCACTTCTGATGAAAAATATAGAGTCATATGGACTAAAGTGTCCAAGCTTTCCATGCAAAATAGTCCCATCTTCATTATTGAACCAAACCCCAGATGTTATATCTGCAACATCAGAAACCTGCACTCCATGATATGAGGGACAGGGAAGAAGCAGTGAGCTTAACACAGATCATCTTGGCACAAATGCACAGAGACGTGAGGGATACAAAGAGAGGCAAATAGCAAGAGGTGCAGAAAAATGAACTCCATATCAGACCTGTACCTCAAACTCAGCAAAAAGGACTGGTGCATGCCTAAGAGCAGTGACCCAATCTGAATGCTGTTTCTCCTCTTTTTTTGGAGCAAAGCTCACCTTCTTCCTTCTCCTTCCCTCACTTCTGCCAACATCTTCAAGTTCTTTTTTCCTTTGGGCTTCTTTGGGCCTTGGGAGTTCAGCTTGCAAAAACACCTGGACTGGGGGTTCATCTGCCTCATGACCTAGAAATAGGTGCATCCAACATTTCACCAGAATGGCATTACACAGAGATGTTGACAAACTCTTTTTTGAGTGAGACTTAGCTTCATGTTACTTCTGTCACTTTTAATCAAGTATAGTTAGTGTGAACTGGTATCTCAGATTAAGAAAAGAAAATGAGACTGAGGCATGCATGCCTTGATCTCAAGAAAAATAGGAACAGGAAGAGAAAATTTCCACTTANTCCATAGTTTGCATAAACGTTGGCGTGAAGTGATAAAGGCCAATGGTGATTACATTCATGATTGAGATGATTTTGCTTTTAAATAAACTGGGTTGTAATAATTGTTAATGAAATTCCGAGAACTTTCTTTCCAATCAGATATTTGCATGCATATTCAGTACTTTGGCATTCAATGTAATTTTGGAGATACTCAAATGTAAATATCTCCATAATCATTTACATTCATGGGTTGAATGATATTAACTATTTTTATTTTTCCTTTGGCCTCAACTAGGATATTTGGTAAGTGGAAATTTTCTCTTCCTGTTCCTATTTTTCTTGAGATCAAGGCATGCATGCCTCAGTCTCATTTTCTTTTCTTAATCTGAGATACCAGTTCACACTAACTATACTTGATTAAAAGTGACAGAAGTAACATGAAGCTAAGTCTCACTCAAAAAAGAGTTTGTCAACATCTCTGTGTAATGCCATTCTGGTGAAATGTTGGATGCACCTATTTCTAGGTCATGAGGCAGATGAACCCCCAGTCCAGGTGTTTTTGCAAGCTGAACTCCCAAGGCCCAAAGAAGCCCAAAGGAAAAAAGAACTTGAAGATGTTGGCAGAAGTGAGGGAAGGAGAAGGAAGAAGGTGAGCTTTGCTCCAAAAAAAGAGGAGAAACAGCATTCAGATTGGGTCACTGCTCTTAGGCATGCACCAGTCCTTTTTGCTGAGTTTGAGGTACAGGTCTGATATGGAGTTCATTTTTCTGCACCTCTTGCTATTTGCCTCTCTTTGTATCCCTCACGTCTCTGTGCATTTGTGCCAAGATGATCTGTGTTAAGCTCACTGCTTCTTCCCTGTCCCTCATATCATGGAGTGCAGGTTTCTGATGTTGCAGATATAACATCTGGGGTTTGGTTCAATAATGAAGATGGGACTATTTTGCATGGAAAGCTTGGACACTTTAGTCCATATGACTCTATATTTTTCATCAGAAGTGAGAAGCATGGCATACCCAATGATGTTTATAACGTATCTTGTCATAGCTTAAAAGAGATAATGTTGGCAATAGGTTTGTTGTTAAATTCTATTAGATAATATCTTCATTTTAGATTAATCCTGATGTCATGCCATGTCCATAGTAGGAATTTCACCTCGCAGTCCCTCATGCTAGCAATAGACAGAAACTAAATATCCAATATTTTATTTTATATTAAAAAGACAAGCAATATGCAACAGATTTTTGCAATTATTTTTTTTTTTTACTTTCAAGTGTACAAAAGCTGCAACCTAGATGCCTTCATTTCTCTTCAAAGCACTCTCCCCCAATATATGTAGAACAGTTTATCCTCATCAACCACATGTTAAAAGATTCATGTTACTCAGAGAAATGTACATATCCCAGCTATGACTTGGCATCTTGATCCAAGTTGGGAATGCTCAAGAACTCCCTTCTAGCAAGCCTTAATTTGAGAAATGAAAATAGCCATGCTACAAAAAACTGCAATCAGGAAAATGGCTGCAAATAAAATCTTGCTGGAAGGAAGCTTCCAGCAAGCTTACAGAGCTGAGAAATATACTATTGTTTAAGTACTGTCAGAGCCTTTATATGTGACTGATGAGGGTATAGCTGTATCTGGATGTCAGGGGAGAATATTTTGAAGAAATGTGAAGCGATGAAGTGCATAGCTGCTGCCGCATATGGCAAAGTAAAAAACTGCTGCCAAAACTTTTGAATACCTGTCATAAGCAAAACATAACCTACATCAGGCTTTTTCTTAACCCTTTCAGACCTTGTGTCCATTCCAATGGACATTGCATTTACATTGTGTCTATGGCAATTTCATAGGATTCTTGTGACTTTGCGCTCCATATTACACTACTATGGGCGCAATTACGCATGGCTCAGTTCCATCATTTCACCCATTAGCTTTGTAATCTTCAGCTATTTAATTAAATGCATAATATATAATATATGGTATGATATGGTAAATTTAAACAAAATATGAGAACTACATATAAAGCATGACATTTTCAATTACAATCACAAAAGAGCTCAAAAATGCAAAAAAGGATATTATTCTGATAGCGGCCTTAATTCAGGTCTGAAAGGGTTAATCAAAAGGTGAGTAGCCTGTAAAGGTTTTGCTCCCAGTGTCTATTGATATTTCTTAATTTTAGAATGACAAGTACTGGGTAAAAAAAAGTCACCCAAAATGAAGCCCATTTTCATAATGGGAAAAATAGCATGCAGGGGACGCCTCATGCCTTGACCATTATCTCAGGTCCCAATTACTGGGAAGTTAGTCAATGAAATCCCTGTGCAATATGGATGCAATTACTTTGTTAGTTTTGATGTTCTAGATGATGTTCATCTGCAAGAGATCATGTTTCTTTGAACCTCTCTCTGGCATGTTTGATTTTTTCACATTACTGTGATTGGCAAAAAATGTACTGCATAAAATTATCAGCCAGGAGAGACATCAACAGAGCAAATTAATTGATCATAATCTGTCCAGCATCTTACCTCCAAGACACAGAAAGGTGATTTCAGTTTGGCTTTTGTTTCATGATGTGTTGTGTTCCAAAATGGAAAAGTCTTTTCCAACACCATGCACAGTTGCACTGCATATTGCACAAATGAAAGTAGTTCTGATTTGGCCTCTAGTTCTTCCATTTTCTCCTAAAATATCACCCTCCTGGGAAGAAATGCAGAAGGATAATTTAAAATGCATCATATGAGCTAAAGATACTCACCTATAAGCTTAACAGAATTGACTCGAACAGTTCAACTTGATGGTCGAATTGACCATCTGATGTCTTCTAGTTATTTTCCTCTCATCAACTGAAACTGGTGATGGGGTGTGAAATATTGGCAAAGGCATGGTTCAGCTGTGACTGCATGATAAAGAGGGGATTATAGTTACAGACATAATCATAGATTGTGATGAGACTCTGTCGTGATGCTTCAAGCACAAAAATGTCGCAATGAGGTAGAATGAAGTCTTTCATTATGTCAGCAAATTATGGAATGGAAATACTCCTTCCTTTATAATTTCTAGTTCCATAATATTTTGTTTGGTATTATCCCATTCCAAAAATAGAATTCCCACTCAAATTAGCTTCTTTCTTTTCAAGCCCTCTCTTTTCCCATTTATTGCTAATAACTCCATGCCATAATCACAGTGCCAACTATCGAATCTCTCTTTGTCTTCAGTGATTCAGTGTACAGTATATGATAAATCTTGCAGGAGTTTTTGACAGGGCATTCAAGGGCATATGGAAGGGTCTGTCCTGTCCACTGCTTCACCATTGCATTTTTTAAATTTAATGGTGAACTATTCAGTGAAAATTAGAAGCAAATTGAATGTTCAATATTCAGTTATGATGGTCTTAAATGTATGCCAGAGGTCATTTACCGGTAGCTAGTAATTGAAAAGGACCCTTGGTTTGTGGTCGAAGTATTGTCTATCCATGGATGGGAAAAGTTTGAGTAAAGTTAGTGAGATCTGATGATTGACAGGAAGCAATGGGACTTTTCCAGTGGTAGAGCTGATGTTAGGGCAACTGTAATTTGCCTTACAAAAGAAACTTTTTCCATTTATTAATTGTTGATTAACAATAAAAAAAAGCTCCCATATAGCATAAGTGTATGTTCAGTTTATCATGACCTGCTTGTGTGCTTGAAGCTTTCCATTGATGAATACATTTTATTTGTAGGTCTAGTTTACAAAATACCTGATCTATGGAAAATCCTCAATGTAAAAGCTGTACTATTGGGTAAGGGGCTTTCAACTTGTCACAAAATGGGAAATATCATCTGGGAACACCACTGTTAGGAGCATATGAGGTGTCAAAGTAGTTTTCTAGTTCTATTGAACTGGAATAGAATTGAATTGGGCACAAAATGCTCTATGTTCCATTTAATTGTTTGAGTCATTTATTTTGCTTGAGAGAACTGTCCCATTGTCCTGCAGATATACTATTCTTAGAGTTGGAACATCAGAATTTTTATTTTTATTTTGATAGATTTAATGAATAGAATGTGATTGATAGAAAAATATGCACAAGAGAAAATATATCTTGGTTGAGCGCTTGTTAATAGACTTACAGAAGATTGAAATAGGATGGTGTGCTTGCAAAATTCTGATCCATCCCCAAAAAAAATACCTACACTATACTTATCATCAAACTAGAAATGAGCAAGGCTGAGCTTTGTTGGTAAATGTCATGGAAGGAAGGTCTTAGAATCTGCTTAAAATGCCATATTGAACCTGCTAATTTTGATTGCTTCCAAGCTGATTTCAATCTAAAGTATATTAGTGTTGTTCTTGATCAGTAGCTGTTTACACAGTATCTTGCCACTATTGTACCTTGAGGAATCTTTCAGGTTGGATGAAACACCATACATTGACACCTTTTTGAAACTTTTCCTCTACTTTTTTTTAACTCTTCTGAAATTAATTGTTTTTTCTATACCTCTAGTCAGAATGTTAGGGGCAGAAGAAGTGGCAGTCACCAGTCGTAAATGACTGCCCCTTCTTTTATTCTGTTCATATGGGGAGAAAAAAAAATCCTCCAGTTTGAGGTTCTACATTTTAGCCAACACCCACCTTCCTCTGAGACTTCATCATGTATCCATTTATTCTTTCTTTCTAACCAAAAGTCTTTTTTCAAAAATTACCATATGAGTATTAGTTGTGGAGATATGTCTCAGTGTATGCCTGTCTGGCTGCTGTGCAAGACTTGTGCTTTTTTTTTCCACCTATGAGCTATCTTTCTCTCTTTGTTTCCTTATGATCATTAATGACAGTATAGTATAATTTAAAAATAATATCCACCATCTGCAGTAGAGAAGAGGGGGATATTATTATGGGATGCACCCCAGAACCTTGGATGTAGCTGCAGAAAGCAGATACTCCAAGAGAAAAGATGCATAGAAATGTGCCATGCTGAATTAGCTAAGTATCACAGGAAGTCATCTTCTGGTTTTAACTGCCAAAATAAAATAATATAACATGACATGCTGTGTCATGCTAGAAAGATAATGTTCTCAGTGGAGAATAAAAATCATTTTGGATTCCATAACTTTTCTGATTCATATGTTGTGTAATGCATTGCTAGATTTAGTCACAGCTTTGTAGTTTTTATGTTTTTCTGTGTACAGTCTGTTGTGGCCACTTCAAAGGAGTGAAGAGTGTCAAACAGTAAAATCGTTACCTATTCTGTGCCAATCAGTCTTGTGGAACACAGTGATAATAGGAGATGATGCAATTGATGTTGTTATCTGATGCAATTCATTTGGCATGGTTCTCCCACAGCCATTATGCATCCATGTCCTCAGGTTGCTTCTGTACACCACACTGCCACAATGTTCATAAGTTCCTCATCTATGAATAAAATCTCTGTGCTTCCCTCCTGTTTTCATCTGCACATTTTATCGTCTGCATCATATATGCCTCTTCATGTATCACTTGGGGTGATGGAGTCTTGCTTTACCCCTTCAGACATGCTATTCACAGAGACTTCCTATGTAGTTTCATGTCTTTCTACTTATTTGGTTTCACTAGCATTCTTCAAGCATTGCTGCCAGCCAAGTTTTTCATTTGATTATTTTGACAGGCTTTTGTATTGTAAAATATTCCTTTTGCAAAATGATGTCATGCTGTGTGCAACTCTGAAAATCATAGAGACCTGTTTGAAACTCTACTGTACCCAAGATCGTATCAAAAGATTACAACTGGGAAAGCCATGGTACTTGCATTGTAAACACCCTCTGAGTGAAACTAAAGATGCTGAACTCAATGTGTTTCCATCTAGCTTGTGGATATGGTTACTGCCATGTGTGCATTACTTCACTGCAACTGCTTGCACTTTCTCTGTTATGGTTGATTTCTCCCTTTGTGCAATTTGTATCTGCTTTGTTTTCTTTCTCTACACTATCAGCATCAGATCTGATGCAAGAGGACTGAAGTTAAGTGTTTGCTCAATGCTCTTCTAGGCCAGGAGGAGTTGTCTTCAGTGAGAGTGCGTGAGGAACCATTTGTCTGCTCATAGTATTGACCAGTGGAACGAAATCGCATATATCAAACTTGGTGAAATTGGTATATTTGTCTTTAGATAAATCATTCCTTTCCTTCCCAACTTTTTTTCATTCTTTCCCTGTTCATTCTTGTATTAGTACACATCAGTGCATCAGCACTTGATCTTCAATGAAGTACTTTCACTTTGCTGTGCCTCTGTTCTGGATGAAGGGAAGACATGGAAGCTTGGAAAGGGATACATGGGAATTTCCTGGATCCTGTTGTCAGATGAATGAAATTATTACAAGTTGTGTTTTGTCCAGGTCTATGCTGACTGAAGGTACTGCTGCAGGGGGCAGCATTCTGAGGCATATTTCAGAGGGCAGCTTTCAAAAGTATCTCCCAGGTATGTTTCTTTCTTCCTAGGTATCAGAATCCCTGTCACCATCACATTCTACCCCTTTTTTACTTCACGATGACAGAGTCACTGGTTGCAAAAACCAAAACTTGGGGCAAGGTGGTGCTGTGAATGCAGGCAGCTGGAACACTAACTGCCCCTCAAACTGATGGGAATTCAATTTCCATACCTCTTGCATTGGGCTGGCGTTTGAAGTTGATTTTGTTTGATGATGGTTTGTGGTTGAGAATGGAAGGAATGCAGCAGAGAGCAGGGCCTTCCTGATGGCATAGGCACCGACTTTTAAAAAATATTGGGAGGGGGGGGCAAGTTCCTCATTCCCTGAAAATAACAGTGACGGAATTATTCCAGGATCCATTGGGGTAGCTCAGTATTATTATGGTAGCAGAGTGACAAGCCGGGTGGGGGTGCTGGGCATGGCCCTTTCACCCCATACCCTTACGAGTTGACACAGGGATCTCCCCCAGTTGGAGCTCTAAACAGAAAGGAAAATCATATTTTTTATTTCTTTTGTGAAGCAGCATTTTGTTTCCAATTTTCCTTGTGCCATACTTTTGTTGAAATTTGACCCTTCTTGGGGGGGGGGGGGGGGGGGGGGGGGGCCCCTATCCTTGTGCCATACTTTTGTTGAAATTTGACCCTTCTGGGGGGGGGGGGGGGCACGTGCCCCTTTGCCCCCTGGGTTTGCCCTGGGATGGCATTGACACATAAGTGTTGTTGCCTTCAGTAGCACTTGGTTGTAGCAGTTTTGATGTTTACACTCGACTTCATGAAATCTGTTTTAGACAGACCCTTAAAAAATATATATATATTTTTTTTTTAAGTTGGGTATACAGAGTATTCTACTCCAAGTCCAAATATAAGTTGCGTGTATCGAAAATAATGCAAAAAGTATATCTATTGTACTGTATTAAACCTAATCGGATTCAAAGTCTTAAACAAAAGACTAAATGAAATAGTGAGGACATTTTAGGTTTCAGACAAGGCTTAGACCTCTTCTGCTTACATTTTGGGCAGCCATATATCAGTGGCACCCTGACATTCCTTGGACCTCAGGCAACAACCAAAGAAGCCTTAGTAGAACTTTTGAAAACCAAGATCATAGAATTCATGAAAAGATGATTATGAACTATCGCTTAGAATGACAATCATTTCTAGAATAATTTAAAAATTGAACTCTTCATCATTATTTTTATTTCCGTTTTCGCTTGCCTCTGTTAAGAAACCTCCGGACCTTGTTCAATTTTGTAACGAACCCATGAAAGTCATTTTCACTGCTGGGATGGGACGTGAACTCATGATTTGAGCATGAGAAATGGTAGGAATGACAATTTTTTCAATGGAATACACTGGTCTTTTTATTTTTGACGGACAGACAGAAGCCAGGAAGTTTCATTCTCTGAGAACATTTATTTGGCGGCGAATCACAGCACAATTCTTGGAATTGCCATTGCATGACCATCAGGGAATGGAAGGTGCACATTCCTGCAGTACGTCTCAAGAATGCAATCACAGGCTCCAACATTTCTCATTGAACGTCGCGGGTGTTCTGAGTGCCTCCCTTTGCACATTCGGTTCATTCTCGGCTGTTTAATTGCACCTCTAGTGAAACTTTCCCGTGAGATGTGGGTTACCTCGGCTCATCGTCCAAATCGCTTTCTTCAGTTGCCCCCCCCCCCCTTTGCCCTTTACCCCCTGATGTCCCAATGGTATTGACCAATAATTAACCCCTTAAATTGGTATGACGCGTATATTTGTCATGGTGGAACGCTCCCCTGAGTGGGATTGAATTTTTTTTTTCGTCGCGCTGTTTCGAGTTTGAGTTACATATACATTCGAAACTCGTAAAGGATGATAAAAGTCACAAGATATGTAAATTTCTTACACTTCCTCTAATTATTACTCTAACGGAAAAATAGCAGAAAATGTTGTCTTCCTCATGCTTACTGGACTCAAGTTGCTCATCTGCGAGAGGGGGCAAGCCGAGGAACCTATCAATTTCATTGCTGAGGTTGCATGCCATCAAATAACTATTTTATATATATATATATTTTTTTTTTTTCAAGGGAAAGTGCAAAAAAGAATAACCGCCCCCAAAATTGTCTCGTGAATTCCTTGATGTTCGAGTAGTGGTCTTCGTGCACGCCGACTACCCTCCAACCCCCATGCAAGAATAAGAGAAGTGTGCCCGAGCACCGAAAGAAAGCAGTTTCATCCATAAGCTTGGAAAATATAAGAGATCGAGAACGGAAACATTTATCAGATAAGAAAGTTAAAATGTGGAATATTTCTTCTGCGAGAACATGAGTCACTTCTATCTTCAAATTTTTTTTCTTAGCCCTTTTCATTCAGGAGCGTCATCGATTAAAACGATAGAGTGCGTTTTTAAATACACAAACCGTCAAATCCGGGTTCCGTGCAAATCCTATCGGCTATCAAAGAGACGGGATGGCACAAAATCTGAGGAAAAATTTGCAAAGTCTTCGCAAAATCGCCCCAACTACTGATTTTGCAGGCAGCGCGAACTTTCATACATAGTAATGAGTCTGTAATATATGGTAATGAGTCTGTGAACGGGGTAATATCAGAGGTTTAAAGTTCGGAGATCGACATTGTCGCTTTCGGTCGCCCCAAGTCGACTGGGGTCGACCTCTCGTCACTTCCGATATCCCAGTGTCGTGAAACGGCGTCAAGTGCTTTTTTTTTTCTGCCGCGGTGTTGCACACGTCACTTTCAACGGCGATCTCGTCACTTTCAACGCACCCGTTGAAGATCGGGTCGACCGTTCGTTCCATGAAAAATACGTCGACACTAAGTTGAAACCGTGTTCGAACACCCCTTCCTCTCGAGCGAAGGCGGCCCTCTCAGTAGATGAAGGTGGTCGCTGCCGTCTTCGTGTCCATCTCCACGTTCTGCGTCGTCCGTTCCCTCTCCGGCCGCTGGCTCACGTAGACGAGGACCAGGTTCCCCACCTCCAACGCCAGGACCACGAACACCAACCTGCGGGAATCGCGAACGTCGCAGGAATCGATCGCGAAGGTCGCGGTTGAAATTTCTCCTCACCAGTAGGAGAAGCCGAGGCTGGCCTCCATCACGTAGTCGTATGTGAGCGTCTCGTAGAGCATGAGGTTTTTGGAGGACTTGGTGACGTGGTGGACCCCCCACACGATCATCCCCAACAGGGCGAATCCGGCTGCAAGAACGGAAACCTCGAGGTGAAAAAAAAAAAGATAACCGCGGAACTCCCTCGTGAACCTCGGGCGACCCCGCTTGCCTGCGAGACCGTTGTAGTAGTAGAGCCCGATGGGCCCCGCCCACGTCTCTATGGGGCTGCCGAAGGCGTTGAACACGCCGAACCCGGCGCTCACGACGAGGAACAGCGCGCACAGGCCCAGGGAGACGAACGTCGTCACGAGGAGACCGAAGTTCGCGAGATCGCCTGGGATCGGGGACGAGACGGTGCGGATACGAGGACGAATCCAAAATCGGAATCTAACGAAAACGAACGAAACCTTTTTTGCCCGTGGCGAGGAGTTTATTGAGGTCTTCCAGCCTCCTTTCCTCGGATTCCCCCGCGCTCCAGATGTACGAGTTTTCTTTCGCCGAGACTGCGACTGAAGAGAAACGCAAGCCCGTCACTACCGACGCTTTCGGTGCAAAAAAGGTTTCCACAAAAATCCTCCACGCCCTCTCGGGAAAACGAAAGGTCCAGCGCGCGTCGACTAGGAATTTCCCGCAAGAGGTGAGCCGTCCTGCCGGCACGGAACAAAACGGAACTCACGTCGTATCTCCTTGGTTTCAGAGGAAAAACCGCCATCCACCCTTGTCCCCTTGATCAGTCCGTAATTGACGTTGTACTCCATGGTGCTTGTCGCATTCTCCCCCACCCATGTCGCATTCCCCTCCACCCAATGATCGGTGCCCAGCGCCGCGCCCAGGAGGGCTATCGCCACGCACGACAGCACGGACGTTCCGAGGAGGTACTGCTTCCGGCGTCGCATCCTCTGTGCCCTTGGGATGTCCTCTGCTGGATGGCCTCCGATGGATCGTCTCCTTTGTGTCCGATGCTGGATGGCTTCCTCAGGATCGCCGCCTCTAGGTGTCCGCTGGATGGCCTCTGCTGGATGTCTCCATCGAGAATAGCGAGGGAGAGATAAGAGATATCTCGGCTGGATGCCGCTCGTTATCTCGGGGGCTCTCCGACGGTGATAAATCTCATTCGTCATCAAGTTGAACCGTTCCATCTCGCGTCAAGTGGCAGATGGAAAATTATCTATCCGTGTGGCGACACGGGAAGAATCCGAATCGAAATGCCTGATTTTTTGTCTGGTGATTCCTTCTGTAGGCACCAGTGGCGTAGCGAGAAGGAGAGGGAGCTGAAGCCCCCAAATTTGGTTCGAGTCTCCCCCAACTCTGGTCAAAATGCGTCTGCCACCCCCCCCTTTTGGGGAAACCTTGGCCTCGCCACTGGTCGGTCCTGTGATAGTTTGGATCCTACCGCTTCCACGGTTTGAAATGTGGAAAGGGAAATGAGCGCGGGAATTTAAAAAAAAATCGAAATGCCTTTAGATTTTTTTTCCAATTGGTCAAGAACTTAAGATTAGGTGTTCCTAGGTCAAATAGAGACATCTTCGAAAGTAATGGGTTCTCCTGTGCGGTAGGAAATGAGTCCATTGCGGATAGGAAGGCGCCTGCAAGTACAACCAGGGACTTCTCGCTTGTCCCAAGGGGATATCTTTGGGACGTCCTTCGGATATACTCGTGCTGCAAGAAAGAGGCATCCTTGGGATGTCTCTACGCCCAGACTTTTGATATCCCTAAGATGTTCCTACTCCTTGTCTCTGAGACATCGCACTCGTTCCAAGGGGATATCTTTGGGATATATCTGTGCTGTGTGGATTCTACATCCTGAGAGCAGAATATTCTTTTCGCAGAGGAAGGAAATGAGGAACTGATCTCGCAAATGCGCTATAGATTATGAAAGGGTGGATTATCCCCTGAATGTACTATATTGAATAATGGCAGGGGAATTGCAACCATACTTCTACAGGCAGTACTAGTACTACAATTAGAAAAGTTCCCACGTTAGGGAACCCCCCCTCTCCCCAGGGCAATAAGCAGCCCCAATATCGGCCCAATGAAAATACTCGTTCCATTCGGAGCCTGCGCTCATCAAGTGACGGTCGTTCCTGCTCGCATGGGCAGAGTGAGGAGCTGTGTGTGCGCGTCGCAGGTGTTTCTTTTCTTGCTGCACGAGACGGAAGCGACCGCTCGTCATCATGGTGCTGGGATGGGTTGGGTAGAGGTTGTGACCTCGTGGATCGTTCCGCGTGGCCTTCTCGCTGGCTTTTCACCCCCCCCTGGTCAGAGTTTAGGCCATTTCCTTGGAATAACTTTTTGCATTTTGACTCTCAGGGAATATTAATATAGATGTCAACACCTTCGGCCAACATGAACTAAAAGCAGTTTCCGCATCCTTGAGCTCACCACAAGACAGACCTTTATTTGTATAACCTCTGTGCACCTAACATTCACGACATCATCTTATTCATTGGAAAAATGGCAAAATGGGAAGCATAGACGGCAAGAACCAAGATTTGTATAATTGTATGCATGCACTCCTGCATGTGCATGCACAAAAGAAGGAATGGGGGAAAATGAACTTGAAACCGAGGGGCATTCATGTACAGCAGAATGCAAGATGGATAAGAGAGATGAATTTAAACATATACTACTGCAGTTGGTGACCTGATTCCATTCAAAAGTGATTGGCCCTCAAATTTGAAAATGTTCCCATATTACCCAGCCACATGGATGCTCCTCCCGACAGGTATAATGCATCTCCAATAACTCCATAAATTAATGCCAATATCTTCTCGCAAGAGAATTTGTATCACCTACTACCCAGCCACATGGATGCTCCTCCCGACAGGTATAATGCATCTCCAATAACTCCATAAATTAATGCCAATATCTTCTCGCAAGAGAATTTGTATCACCTACAATTGGACTGAATTCTTCCAAGGATAAATCCCCCCCCCCCTCCTTCACTCTTACAGATGTCATCTCCTAGGAGGAATCAGATTCTTCTGGTTCCTATACCTCCTCTTCATATTCAATATCCCAGTACTGTACATTGCCACGAGTGATGTCCAAGATGTGGAAATGAGATAAAGTGATACACCGAGGGCATGGAACAGAATGCATATTATCATGACTTGCTAAAATGCTGAAAAGCATCTTACAGCAGTGAGTGGGGCACTACCTACCCTCACAGCTGGAAAAAAAAAAGCTGGAACTGTTCAGTCGCTGCCTCAGTAAGCATAAATAGATTTTAAAATATCACTGTATGGTCGATGTTGATAGTCATTCAGACAGGGCAGATATGCCATAAGCAGGACTAGTCAAATGAGTAGCATTTGGTTCACAAGTACCTTAATGCATCTCATATTTTGTTCCCAATAGATATTGCATGAGAGAGAACAGTACAAAAACTTGTGCATATATTTAGACTGACTTCCAGGTGGTTTTTCATTAAAATGGCTCAGTGAAGTTTTAGGCAAATCGCTGTGAATTTCAGATAATACATATCTCATACTCGATGTCAAAATCCTCATCCAATTCATAGCAAACATGGGGGGTTCAGCATGGTTTCAAGGTAACAAAGTGACTGCACAGTGGAATGAGTGACTGCCAACTCTCCAGGCCAGATTCCTTCTAGATGGGAGAGTCAGTCTAGAGCAGCACACAATCAATACAGTATAAAAAATAAAAAGGAACAAAACATGCTCTCCAGGATCAATACCCATCCTTGACAGGTCAACACAGTCAATTCATCAAGATTATGCACTTCATCGTTTATTGTGTCATCTCCATTGGTGACAATGGTTGTGATAATCTAAAGGGTCACTCCTGATATGCTGCATGATTCCTTCAAGAATGGAGAGCCTGAAGAGGGCTACGTATGACCAGTATGATATAATAAAATGCATGCACAAAATGGCTGTTCTACAAGCTCAACTCCCATCCTCTACAATTTCAACAGAGCCTATTACCTCATCATCATCCACCTCTCCATCGTTAGTTGTTTCGTCTTCACTCACACTGATGATGGCACTGATGTCTTCTTCAAGGTTCTCTTCTGAATCAGACTCATCTGTTTCCTCATCATCCTCTTCATCTTCATCACTGTTTTGTGCTTCATTTTTCACACCAGAGGACTCATCTTTTACAGGGTTGTTTTCACTCTTGGCACGTGAACCAACACGTTCAACTTTCACCTTCCTGGCAGTTTCGTTGTCCTCATCTCCAGAGGAGGTCCCAGCATCATCAGGCACTTCTTCTGGTTGCAAGCCCAATGAATCCTGCTTGTCTGCATACTCATTGTACAACTGTGCATGAAACATGAAGACACATCTGATAAAATCTGAACACTATTATGATGCTCTACATTATTATGATATATATCAGTTCTAATATACACAGTATTTACTTATGATGTAAATAACTTTCCTGCAAATCATCACTGACTGACTTCTTGCTGCCCTTGACTATGCTGGAAGTAATCCATGGCTTTGATTAGATTGGTGTAGTGCTTCATGACTAGCAGTTTGCAGTCCTTTCAATACAAGCTCAATACTAATGGCCTCAACAGATGCACCACCAGGGCATGACAAGCCCATCATCAAAAACTTGCTGAAATTGGGTGATAAATGGAATTTTAACTGTATAAGAATGGCCACAAGAGCCTCAAAAGCATCAAATTTTGTAGGGGAAGGTCCAACATACAAATAAAGATATACATGTATAAAATATGTAATTTTACTTTTATAACTCAAGATTTTGTCTTTCAAGGTATGACTCTGGAAATCCTTTATTCACATCTTAATGGAACAAATTTGGGTATGCAGATGAAGTAAAGTCATGCAAGAGATACCCAGTACTGGAAAGGTTTTTCCTCTCTGGTTATAAATGTATCACCACACTCAGGAATATAGACTCTTTTGTCTGCTTGAATGTCAAAGCTCCGAGTCTTTGATTGCTTTGATGACCCAATTAATCAAATCTGTGCCTTCAAGTGATCAGGGATATTTCTTGAAGGTCCAATGAAGGTCTACAATGCACACCTCTAAATAGGGGCCAAGTCATTACAAAGTGTATAATGTCAAGTTATATATTTTTTTTAAATATCATGGAGTATTCCAGCTCTTGGACTTTACATCCACATATTGTTAAAAGGTTCAAGGTCATCAGTGATACCAAAGTGAGGCATCAAAGTCATAACAGTCATTTAAGTGACTCTCATGAAATGAGAATAAAGTTTCTATCGTGATTAACAACAGTATTCAGAGTATGATCTTGCCAATCAGACTAACCTTAACCAACTTCTCCTCTGCAACATGAGCATTTTCACTGAGCTGTGTTGCAAGGGATTGATCTTCATCTGCAGGATCTTTTATTTCACTTGCATTTTCATCTCCTCCATATGCAAACAAGTCCTCAGCTTCCTCCAATTGTCTTCTGCTCTGCAATTGCCTCCCAATACTCAGGAAAACCTTGCGAGCTGGAATGAATAGTATATGTGCATGAGAATAATTTAGAACTAATTCAGGGGAACAAGGTAACAATCTCCATCAAGCATCCTTTTTTCCTTTAGAGGCCATCAAGTGGATAAAAAGACAAGACAAGTGTATTACTGCACTTGGGTTTTGTGCCTATGTGCATCTACCTGTTCATCTTAAGCTTTCCTCCACAATATTAGGAGTAAATAGCCAACTTTAGGCAGGGCACAATGGGCTCCATAGTGGGACTTGCATCTCTCCTTTTGAGATTCATCTGACAACCATTTGAGTGGAAATAAGACACGCAAGGTAAATTTACAGAAAGTCTATTAGATGAACATGCTAGGGCAGAGGTTAGGGAGCATGGGAGAAGTACCAGATGCTGCACTAGAGTAAAACTGAGACAATGTATGTTCCCTGGCTACATTACCATAATAGCAGCTACAATGATTGCCTCCCTCAGCTCTAACTACTCATGGAGCCCTTGAGCTCTAGAATCAATTAAAGTAATCCATCATGGCATGTCATTACCATCATTTTGAGACATTGTGGCAATTCTTTGCCAAATTTAAAAAGGAAAATATGGGTTGAATATTTATTTGTTGATTCAGTAAACAGTATCAATCAGCTTCATCTCCTCTACTAATTAATAGCAGTTTGATCTCTTGAGATACCATATACAGTAAAAACTTGTTAACTCAAACTTGTTAGAACTGGGCAAATCATTTTGAGTTATCTGAAGTTTGACTTCTCAGGAATTGCCTCTACCAGTAAAAAAAAAAAAAAAAAAAAGGAAAGAAAAAAACTCATGTTAAGGGATATAATAGGGCAATTTTTCAGTCCTCAAGAATCCAAATTCAAGGAGTGACAACCTTCTCTTATAATTGGCTATTATTCATGTTTAAGGTTGATACTCCATATGCAAAATTCATCCATCACAATGCCCTTCATCTGGTACTCCAGAAACCAAATATGACTGAAATGGCCATAAGTGAGAGCAATAGACAGACAGGGAAAGTGCTAGAGGTTGCTTCTTTTCATAGCATACATTTTTGTATTTTATTCCTCAGGTTTAATCTTCTCCACAGACATCTGCGAGGGAGGAGGGAGAAGCAGGAAAAAAAAAAGAAACAAAAGGATTTTCTCCCAAACATGTTTCTTGCCTTTCACCCATTCAACAAATTGATAGGTCCCACAAAATTTTTCCCCCCTTCACACCCTAATTTCAAGTTAACCATGAGAAAATTGTAATTGGGAGTGAAAATGTCGTTTGAGATATCTGGAAATTTGAGATAAACAAATTTGAGTTAAACAGAATATTTAACATGGTGTCTTGCAGGATTCGGCTGGGACCAAGCATTTAACTTCGAGATAAGCAGAATTTCAACTTATCTGGATTCGGGTTATGGAATTTTTACTGTACATCCCAATAAATATCAGTATCAATTCAAATGCACTGCAGAGACTCTGAGGAAATAGTTCACCTACCTTCCGTTTCAATCATCCCCTTGGAATAATGCAAGTTGTGTCGCATGTTTGCTTTCCTCACGATGTTCAACACATCACGATAATCTGGGAAAACTTGATTCCTGTTGACTAACTTCTCAAGCTTCTTGTTGACGTCCGGCATAGAGGATGCTGGAAATATCAGTTTTGTTTATAAATACTTCAAAGTATACATACTGATATAAATCATTAGCTACATGACAAGCTGCATATCAAATTGTTGCCAAACATAGATGATACAGGAGCAAAATGGATGACTTCCTATGTCAACACTTACCTTTGAAGTGCACATATGACTTTGTGGGCCTGCCAGGATCAGGATCACATGAATGAAATTTTGCCAATTCTTGATAAATCTTGAGTGCTTTCTTCTTAAGTCTGTAAAAAAAAATACAGATACTTAACACGTTGATGACCAGCCTATTTTTGCTTGTCCGCTGCGTGGGACCACACACATTTTTTTGTCAAAAAATGTGTCCTGCCATCAGGATGCATGGTCCCAGAAAACATTTTTTTGCCGAGCTTTTTTAAAATGTTGAATTTTTCGGAATTTTTATCAGTAATTACGAAATGATAATCTTCTGGAACGTTCTCAACAGTTCCAGAGGGTATTCATTGAAAAAAAATCTNATTCTTCCAAGGGTAATTCCCCCTCCGCACCCTGGCATCAGGACGCATTGTCGCCAACGTGTTAATCACTATTGCAAAGAAGGAAAACTTGTGCTTTTCGGACATAAACATTGTCAACATGTTTCAAAAATACAGACCAAGGATCACCTAAGCAGCATCTGCAAGCATCTTCAACTCATGGGCAAATTGGGAGATCTGACTCGCACCATTTTAAAGAATCACTTCTAGACATGATCATCACAGTTCAATGGTGCTGTCCAGAAGTCATAGTATTTTTTAAAAGGTTTCAGATAAAAAACTTTCAGAAACAGACAGATCTTTTGACAAGAATTGTTCAAAGATTGGAGTGCTATCTAACCCATAGATTTTGAAAAGGCCTTTTAACAACACCAAACTGGCAAACATCTGAAAGCAGTCATTCATAAAATTGTGAACAACACATTGAATGCTTATGAAGTTGTTTTTCCCAAGGTCTGAAGCTTGTATGTCTCTTTAATAAATGAGATATGAGATCTGTACCGCTATTAATTATTTATAATGACTCATCTATGCTTGATTTTTTTTTAGCCACCCTGCAACCATTAACTCAATGTGCAATACTCTTCCCTCCAAGAATATGTATTCTATAGGCTTTCAGCTCGCTAAATTTTAATTTCATCAAACAATTTTAAAATGACATGCATGCAACCTGATGGAATAAAGTCTTGGCCCTTTTCTGAGGAGATGCAAGTTTGACCTTACCTATGGTCACAGGTTCCTTAAAGACTGTCCTCTCTTTCAAAGAACAGACTGCATTGGCCCTAAACCCCTTGAATAAGTAATTAAATATCACTAGACCAATGTTGTATCATTAGTAAACAATCATCAAGCAAATAAGTTAGGAAATACCACTAAGAAGCTAAGATTAGCAATGCACCTGATATCCTAAACATTTTAGTCATCCAACAATAGAAAATTAAATCATCAAAGTAAGGTCATAAGTGTTGCATATATAATAAATAATAAATTATACTGACAAAAAGAGTACACTAGGATAGAAGTATGATTAAATACACAATCAGCCATGAACTTATGGAAAATGGTAAATTTGTAATAAAAAACACTTTCTTCCAATGAAATTGTGAAGAATTTGTCTAAGAACATAACTCTGCTGTGTAGGATAATGGAATACAGATTTTTGGCCATGTTACCCATTGTTACCCATGTTAGTACCCATTCATGCTTGCAAATGTTAGGGTCTGGGTGGAATTACATTCTTGAGAGAAATAAAAAAACGTAGCTTTGGGGACAATGACTTCTCATCTCCATCACATGCCTAACTCAAATTTACCCTTGAACAAATTACAACTTTGCAATGGGGCAAAACACCTTGAATTATCTATAGCTGGTAAAGACAGTTTCTACAAGCTTCCCTCGCTTTATATGGGTTCTTTTTACATGAATTCATACTTCCATGGTTTTTCTTTTACTACCAAAAATTTGGAAAGCATGGGGTGTGGTTTGCAGATACACAGTTTGAGTTTATTGAATTTTTGGTATTAAAAAAACAAAACAAGTGCAAATCCATGTAAAAAGAACTCATGTAAAGTGCGGGAAGCCTGTACGCATCCCCCGTGTAAAGCAAGGGACTACTGAACTTGACTTGTAGACAGCAGGCATCAGCAGGAATAAGTATGTTTCTGGGCATAAAAACTACACTATTTCCTTTCCATCTGTTTCTCCAACAGTAGTAAGGGGCTATGATGTTAACAGCACTGAAGAGCCAACTATATTCCTTTCATTCACCATGTGAAGCATTGCACATGTCTACTATGCATGCTCAGAGTTAAATTGTAAAGTACCCAAACTCCAGCATTCAGCCAAGTGAAATAGGGATCTAATGACCCATTGATGTCCTTGTCCTTCAAGGGCCACCTAGAGCAGGGGTCTGAAACTTTTTGGCCATGGGAGCCATATTAAGATTGAGCAATGTGCTCATGAGCCAAAGATTTTCAAAACAACATAATTTTTCCCTCTGAAGTTGGCAACAGACATGTGAAATCTTTGATACATGAAAAACATGAGGAACCAGCATGATTTTTAGCCATCACTCATGAGCCAAACTTTTTGGTTCATGAGCCATAGGTTCCTGACCCCTGATCTAGAGATCCTCAAAAGGAGTTTTGCATAACCTTCTGCAGTGTTTATTTTTTGATACTAGCAACAGTTTGGATGATTAAGTTCTTCGGTTCAGCAACTAACCTAGAGTTTTTCTTAGGCACTTCTTAAAGTACCGTTCAAGTGTTCAAGAAGAAATCCCAAGTCAGTTGTTGATTATCTTCATCATCCAAACTGTTGCTAGTATATAAAAAAAATACACACTGCAGGAAGTTATGCAAAACTCCTTTTGAGCATTTGCAAATATGTAGAGAGGGTACACAATTTGAAAACCTTATGGGGACAGGACAACAACTTTGAGAGTTTCTGCAGGAAATGCAATTTTCTGTGTGTTTCTGCAATAATTAACATGTTATGAATTTTAAAAATGTTTACCTTTTATATGGCCCACCCTGTATATTCTTCAAACAGTGATAAAATCTATGTTATCAATAGATCTGCAATTTACAACAGTAATATAACACATACCATCAAGCAATAATTTCATGAGCTTATGTTTCCTATGTCTTATGTTGTTGGGGAGACTCACTTTGCTGAAAGTATGTAAGTAGAGCAATCATCATCAAAATCGACATCTTGTTCATCCAGCTTCTTGATTGCCTTTTCCAGTTTCTGTGAAGAAAAATTAGGATCAACATGACAGCTTGAAATGCAAGGAGAATTCCTATATACATATGCCTACCAAAAAGGGCTAAAATAAGCCATATTTAAACATTCCAAAATTCTTGCAACAAGGATGCTATGGGTTAGGCATCTTTTAAAAAGAATTTATCATGAATGAGCATGATGCTTGTTGACATGCATTCCAATGCACACAAAAACAAGAAGCATGAGGATGTTGAATTAGGACATAAACATCAAATCATAAATTTATGAGAGAAATATGGTGGTCATCTACAATAGCATGATAGCAACAGTCACAGCTTCACAGGATTCAGCCTTTAGAGGACTAATCCTCAACCTTGGAATAATTAAGTAAAGCTGAAGCAAAGTCTAATGTGTAACTTTTTACATTATAGAGCAAATGCCATCAGGCCCATGGCTATGATGATGGCCTGGGAAGGGTATTACCAATGCTAACCTGGACCACCATGCCTACAGCTAGCAATTTCCCAAAGCGGGTACTTATTTTAGTGTCTCAACAATGCAATTGGTTTAGGTGGCATGAACATAGCAAAGAGAAGTAGGCTCAGAAGACCTTTTGTATTACTAATGCTTCCCACCAGAACCATATGAAACTGTCTCCCATACTGGAGTTCATAAGCAGCAAAGGATCCTTTTGCTAGTCAGACAGGATCTGAATGCTACCAATCCTTGCCAACATTTTTGGTGCATCAGATAAAGAAGAGCTCATGCCAACCTATCCAACTTCCTCAAATTGATTTATTTTAGAAAGATGTTACTGGTAATTTTCTGAAGAGAGCCTGCTTCATGTAAAAGTTTATAACTCAAAAACTATTGAATATGCACCTGAATGAATGTGCTTTTTCCCCCAACAGACCTTGCATCAATATGTATCACAGTTTTCCCCCCCTCCCCAAGATACTTGCAAGTCATCCAAAAAAAAGTATAATAATCAAAATCCATATCTGAACTTGACCCAAAATTAGAAAGGGTGCAGTACTTTATCAAATATGAATTAGTGAATTTTGGGGTATGCTAACCCTGACCTTACTCATCCATCAACAGCTCTCATTACTGTTCCATTTACCTTTTTTTTTCTCCTCTGGCTTCATTTTGTCAATAGAAATTACATTTAAGAGCTGATGCAATAAAATGCTGTTAATAAAATACTTCAGGTAGACAAGACATGGTATCATAATTGGGGTAAATACCCTCATCGGTACTGCCTTCATGAAACCATAACTGAACCTAAAGCCTGGGCATTTTCTGTCATTTATTGTGTGAAGAACAGATAGGTCTTAACTGTCAGCATTCATCAAAATTGCAAGGACTTCAGCTACATTTGGATTTTTACAAGGTTACAAGATGCATTGTTACCCTTACACGTAATGCTTTCTCCAATTTTTTCACAGTGTGGGATGATGGCATCTTTGCTGGTTTAGCAGATTCCGAATTTTCTGCAGAAGGTTCAGCCTTTTTTGGCACGCAAGTTCTAGCCCGGGTCTTGGACTCCTTCAGCTTGACCATAAATCTGGCACACTCAACCAGGCTCTGAATGACACTGCTTGTTGATGATGGAATTTGGGATCCTGGAGGCACCAATGCCTCCAGTTCGTGGATTGAAGCATTGTCCAACTGGGTCACTTCCTTATATAATCTTCTCAGCTTCTCCAGAAGTTTCTTGTCTCCTGTTGTTTCCATTAGAGGTGCACAGATGTGCAAGTACTGAAAAATGAAATTCATGGACACATAAAAGCCATGAAACACTCCTGAACCCATTGACCAACCAAAAAAATCAACACACTTGCCATTGGCCAATCTAGTGCAGCTCCCTTCCCATTGCATATCCAATATAATTGCCTTTGAGTGATGTTTCTTCCCATTTACAATGAATTTGCAATCCAAAGTGGAAATGAACTGCAACTCAAGGTAAATTTATTAAGCAGTTTCAAGAAGTATTTTGCCATTCATCAAGTATCCCTATGCAATAACCATGTCATGAAGTTACTGATAACTTCTGAGGGTCTCAGTATAAAATCTGACTAGTGCCAAGCAAGTTGAACAAATAAATGGAAAACCTACATTGCCATATGTCCTGGCATTACAGTCATAACTGTCTTGAATTTATCAAACAAGCTTCAGATTCCTTTTTGTTTCTTTGAAATGAACTTACCTGCCTCTTGTACAAAGCACCAATAGTCTTCATACCAGATTTGGTGTCATGAAAGGTACTGGTACTTACTATCTTGGTTTTCAACTTTCAATGTAGACAAGGCATGGTCATGACCCATGAGTCTAAATGATTTTTATGCTATCTGGTGACAGAAATCAAATGTTTCCCCCAATGCCTATCTGGAAAATGCATACTAATTTTTTGTTGCCTTGAAAACACATGAATGGGATGTTTCTCAAGCAGAGTTAAGTGAAAAAATATCTGACTAGTGAAAAAACTGTACAGGGTGACCCAAAAGTCTGGACACATAGGTAATATTACTAATATTATGTTTTTTCCCCAGGTTGAATATGAGTTTGTTGTAAGAAGAACGTATTGAATTGGTACTGCTGAGTGGACGTGAGGGGTGGTCATATCGACGGATAGCAGATGATTTCAATCCACGTCATCCCAGAAGGACTCCCATTTCTTTTTGCACAGTGGGGAGGGTGGTTAGAAAATTCAAAGAAACAGGCAGTGTCTTGGACAAACCCCGTTCCAGACGACGAACTGTATTGGATGACGAAACGAAGGAAGTTGTCATTGCTAAGGTCACAGCTAGCCCCAAAAAGTCAATTCGCAGGTCATCCTTGGAACTGGGTCTTCTTCGAGAAACCCTCAGAAGGATTTTAAAAGCCGAGAACTTTCATCCGTACAAGTTACAAATCTTGCACAACTTAACCGAGGACGACCCTGACAGACGATTGGAGATGTGCGAATGGCTCTCTAATCGGTTGGATGAAAACAACCGCTTCACAGAAGACTGTGAGTTGTTCAGCGACGAAGCTTTGTTTCACGTAAACGGTGAGGTCAACCGACAGAATGTTCGGTACTGGTCGCAAAACAATCTGCATTGGATGGACCCTTCCAAACAGCAAGGAGCGGAGAGGATTATGGTGTGGTGTGGTTTGTGGAAAGCACATGTGTTGGGTCGCCTATGTGTCCAGACTTTTGGGTCACCCTGTAGAATGATATAATCCTGATAGCATGGTAGAATAGAGGCCAAACTTGGGTAAAGGTCCTGGGGGGGATTCTTGCTTTTCCGTTTTAAAATAAACTACTATTTCTTCTTCTGGGTAAAAAAAAAAAACAAAAAACAAGCATAGCTGAGGCCGTACCGGGGCTAGGACCGGTACCGATAGTGAAAAGTGGAGGGGGGAGGGGAGGTGTTCAACTAATCATTACCGAATATTCTGCACCGGATTATTCATGACTTCATTTACATACCAGCTCCTGAATGGGAGGAGGCTACATGCAAGTGATTTCTTAATGGAAATTAAACGTGCGCGTGGCCAATGGCATTATATGACGGGTCCAGAGATAAATAATGGCCGAATCATGTGGTTGCCAAGTAACCTCATTTATTCTTGGAAAAGGGAGGGGAAGCCCGTCGGGGTGCCCGACGCCAACATTCGATTCAGCGCAGATGTCAGCTGCTGGGGGTGATTTCTCCGTTGGCTCATGTATTGTATTTGGTAGTCTTGATGAGGTCAGATTTGGTATAGGCCTCTGATTTCTCGGAACAGAACCCCCATCGCGAAAGCACAGTATATTGTATTGGCTGTACCAATGCATAAGCAACAACTGGCTGGGGGAAAACAAAAAAAAAAAGAAAAAAAAAGGGGACCGTATGTGCGCGTTCAGGCAGCCTGGGGCGGACTCCATCGTCCCTTTTCCTAGAAAAAGGCAGGTGCTTCCGGTCTTCCCACGCGGAGGGCTGAACAAGTACATGCATGAATAAATCTCTGTGTCAGAGACTTGGGTCAAATGGTGGAACCAGACAAACTCCTGGAGACACAGTGTCTTTTACTTATTCATGTATGTTCCACTTTCAGCTCATCGCGTGGAAAAGACTGGAAGCTCCTACCCTTCTCTAGGAAAAAGGGCAATTGAGTCCGTCCCCAGGCCGCCGAAACATGCACACGCATTCCCCTTCTTTTTTTTCCCTGCCAGTTGTTGCCTATGCATCGGTACAGCCCAAATAAAATATAGTGCTTTCGCGATTAGTTCACACCCATTTAATGCAAACCATTGTTTTAAATGAGCCTACCTATACCAGCGGAACGTTTTCTCCCATCTTAGGTATGACGTTCACTGGTATCCGGTAGATATCTCTAGTTATAACACCAGTAGCGTCAGTGCCCTTTAGATGTGTGAACTCATCGCGAAAGCCCGTGAAACCTCTCAAGGATGTATCTCAATGAAGTCAGAATTATTTGTGCATTTCCAAGTGAGAGGGGTCATGTTACGTTGGTCACCATGATTGCCAACCATCCTCCACTCACTGTGACTGAATTTTTCTATCCTCATTAAGAGATATCCTTGGGGAAGGAATCTGATATTGTTGTAGAAGACCCATCATTGCCTCAAAATGGAGCTTTCCCTTTAGACAATATGCAAAGTTTCCATGTAAAAAAATATACAACAAATAAAAATTCAGGTTCTGTTGTTGGCTTCATTAGCATGGATGCATTTCATCCGACAGCCAGTTATGAAGTTCTTAAACTGGCAAATAATTGAATCAAATTTGAAAAATAAAATAGAGCTAAGATATTACCAGGCTGCTTTGAACATCAATCAAAATGGGAAGTATCCTACAAGTACAGTAAAAATAAAAGAATTTAATAAATAAAAAATATGCAAATCAAAGAAAATTTAATGCAAATTTGAGCATGGAAGCCAATGCCTATTTACTGTTATGCTTGTGGCTGATGCAAATTTTTATTAGCTCAAAAACAGGAAAATCCAATGATCTTCCATAATGTACCTGAAAATGAATATTACTAGAATACAAAAGGAAGTGGTCGAAATAAATTGTCACGAACAACGGAGTACTCACTTCTTCGAAGGGAGAATCACATTTGACCTTCACCCCATCATCTGAATCATAACGAGGTATCTTGGATGGACCTTCATCTACTGGTTCAATCTTGTGTTTATGATTCTTCTCCTGGATCTGATCATCATCATCAGTAATGGTGATTACAGGATACATTTTTTGGCATGAAATTCCTGCAGACCAGGGGAAAACATAGGATCTAAGAAAAGTATCAGATGAGATGTAGATGTGCCAATTCAACAACAAAAAGTGCTAATTCTAGCATGATTCAGTACTCTTTCATTAATGCCACAAGTTCTTGAAGAAAGCCGAAACCTGATCTTTGGCCTACACTGGTACAGGGCCTTTACAAGGGTAGATAAGTTTAAACAGATAGTAAAATGGTCAAGCTTTCCCATTTGTCTCTCCAACTTCACTGCTTAATGTATTAATCATGTCTCTTGGGTGGGCCTCATGACAATGCAAACCTATTGCCCATGGGAAAAAGTCTAAACTCGCACTTAAAATACCATCTACAAGGAAAATATGGTGACTTCAGTCCCCTTAATGATTTTTCCAAGCACTTAAATTTTTCTCCTCACCTATTCAAAAGCCAAGATTAAGTAACTCTGAACGTACATTGTCTAAACAGCCATCAAGTCAGGCAATCAAATCATAGCCTTAACATTGGCTGGGAAATAAATACAATTTAAAAAATAGAATGTATAGAACTAATGGAAAGATAGCCTTATCTATGAGTACAACAACTACTAAGACCAGATTCAGCTTTCAATTTTCTGAGATTGCTGACATCTACTGTAAATTGAAAGAATGGCTGGGAAGATGATGAATACCAGAAACAAAGGAGGACCTTGAGTAATTTGACCTTGGTTTACCAAGATGGTCATCCATTCATTCTATCAGATTTGATTTACCTCTTTTCAGGAAAAAATATTTACTCTGGCTGTTAGCATGTGCTCCCTGAAGCTCCCATCAAATAAGCATACCTATGATTCTGCCTAGGATTCCACTGATCCCTTGGCAGAGAGGGCAATCACTCAATTAACTATTGTGATGCATTTATCAACTACATTTTGGCAACTGAAAAATTCGACATGGCTATTTTTTGCATCGCATCCTATGTGATTGAAATCTGTTTGTACTTATGCACTCAAAGTACGCCAAGAGTAAAAGAGGCTCCTGGCATACCTAGACTGGCCTCGTGAGTCAGCTGTTTAAAAATTCAAATTCGGATTTGTGAGTATGCATGAGGCCGACGGTGTCATACCATACCTCTTAACTTCGAGGAAGCTCTAATACGGGTCAATAGTCAATAGTTCAAACATCATATTCTGCATCTCTTATGTAAGGCCTAATGCAATCCACATCGTCAATGTAAAACAGCCGGGATCTATGTGCTTCTAAACTAGGACTATTGCCAAAATGTAAACTGTAAAGCAGCACTGACAAGGATCTAATCTTGAGCACCGACCGCACCCAGGGCGCAGCCATATAACTCAGCTGCTGAAAGCAAGAGAGGACTGGCACCCTACAGTGTTGTCACGGGGGAGAGAGAGAAAGAGTTGCGAACGGGAAGAGGGTCGAGAAGATCGTAGACTTATCTACCTGATCATGCTAGATTCACGACCCAGGATTGTAACTTGTCCTTGGCATATGTTTAGCTCCATAATATGAAATGTGCAACCCATCGGGAAAACGTTCCACACTCAACTCCAAGTGATTCTACATTTGCCAATAGCATCGCATAACAATGCTTTCTTATGAAGTTCACACACCCCCATAATTCTGGCGCTACAGGTGTTTCGATTTTAGGGAAACCTATGAAATACCGGTTCATGTCAGACTTAAGACGGGAGGAAACGTAAGTTTCGCTCCTGTTTGTAGCCCCATGGAGAACAATGGTTTGCATTGAAAGGGTACTGTGAACTCATCCCTGAAGTCATATACTCCCCCTTGGCACCCTATGGTCACGGCTCCTCAGAAGGACACGACGATCGGGCAACACTGTCCGTCTTACAGTGTTTCTGAATTCGCTTTGTTACTCACCTACGAATACCTGGTGCTGTTGTCAATAGTGTAGGAGAAACACCTGGTACTTGCATTTATCACTAATTGGGAAGAGGTATACAGATGAATGAAGGCGATAGAACGACATCCCTCCATGAGCAAGGGAACTGATATTGCAGAACTCCACCGCATAAGCATGTCGTGGATGGAATGAAAGGGGGGGGGGGGGGGGGGGGGGGGGGNATTGCTGTTGATTTGAAAGGGAGAAGCAAGAAGTCTTTGGAGAAGTTGCAGAAAATCTTCAAGAAGAATGTGCTTACAGCTGATATTCTCCTCAATTGGGAACCACATGGTAAGGATTCAAAATCATTATCTGGCTTTTTCCAGGCTACATAACACCTGTCTGCCTTCCTTCAGCATTTGGGCATTAAATATCCTGATTTTTTATTTTGATTTGGAGAAACCTGGCTTAAAAGGAATGTTTAGACAGCTCATCTTTCTGCCTGTTTAGGTTTAATGTTAATGCATGAACTCCAATATCAGTACCCTGTTTCCTTTGCTGCAATCTTTTATGTCCATGAAGGTTTATCTGTAGCTTTCCAGTACTGGTGAAGATCTGGAAATATTTGGGTATTCTTTTGTGTTTGATGTCTCTATAGAGAGCTACATAGGAAAAGTAAAAGCTGCAGAGGCCCTTAGTTGCCAAATGAGCAGAGTAAAGTGCATTAAAAATCAGCAAGCATTCTAAATGATTGATAGTTCTAGTGTTAAAGCTTAATGCTATGTTCCAGACTGTGAATATGTCAAATAATAAACCTGTAGTAATTTTCTGAAACCGCTGCAATCATTTTGACTAGCCCTGTATAATATGCACACCTCCGATTCAACGGCGTGTCACATTGTCTTTTAAAATCTTCTGCAATCTGTGAATACTTTATTTCAACTTGGATGAGACAAGGCACAAATCAGGTAATTTCCGATGAAAACATCTCATTTGCGATGTCCTCGAGTAAAAGATCCTCCTGATACCCCAATTTTCCGTCAAAAAACTGGAGAAGCCGTGCGAAAAATGAATCAAACGACGGGAGAAATCTCGTCGAATCAATCATGAATCCCAAAACGAATCGTGAACCTCCAAGTTGAATCCTAAACCCTGTTGTGTCTTGTAATCACCATCGCAGATTTGTATCATTGTCACTGGCGTCGAATGCCGGAATTTCGAATCTAGGAACCCAATCAAGAATCTCTCAGGGGAGTCGCCATTCCGTTCCTCCTGCTAATTTTCTGCTAAAAAAAAAAGTTTTGATAGGTTCGGTTTTCTTTTATTGCCAATTAAACTTGATTCAGGAATCAATATCAGGAATGATTTCGAGTTAGATCCGAAATGTCTGGATTTCTTTTTTAGGAAAACTCAATCAAGTATTCATATCAACTGAGTGCATGATCGGGATCATACCCTCGAATCCAAATTCAATCCTCGATTCTGTGTGCGCTCAGAACCACAGAAAACATATTTTCTCTTCCCTGCATCGTCGTGAAATTCTGAGAAACCTTGGGCGAGAAGCAACATCCAATTTGCACTTGAAGAAAGTACGGAAACATACTGGACTCGGTGTGGCATTTTGCACTTCGTGCGAGTGGGGCTCGCCAACCCGACGAGGTGGCGTGAAACGGAAACAGTCACAGTTTCGATTCAGTCACAAGTTTTAACTCCGGGGTGCTCGTCACTCTGATTCACCTCTAAGGATCCACTGCTTCCAGCATTAGGATGCAAACGATCGTGTAATCGTGAAATCACAGCCCAGTCCTTCGTGCACTGGATGTGCATGAAAATCACTGGGTACATAAACTCCATACACATTTGAGAACATACATAATATCAATGGAAATGAAGCTGCGATGAACTAACTAACTCTTTTTACACTCTTGCGATGCAGATGGGAGCAGAAGCTGGTCGGCAAGGTCGAGTCAGGGGGCTGAAGATGGTGCTTCTAGAATGAACAAAACGCGCTGGAATTCTTGTTGCACATTTCTAGCTTCGTATCAACCGCCACTTGCTTCTGCCTTCTGGATCTCCCGAGTCCTGCAAGTATTCTCTGTTTCCGTGTTCCCCAGGATCGTACCATCTCCGCAGACCTTGGAGCTGGTACTAAGCATAAGCCACAAGTCCTTTCGCTCACCCTGAGCCCAATTAAGCAATACAAGCTAGGAAAGACTATAATTGAATACGATTGATACACGAGATACCAGTCCTGCAACGCCCAGATATTGTCCATCCAATTATTGTACTGCTTATATCGTTATTAAATGTTGGCGGAGGTTGAATGAGGCTGAATTGCATGTTAGACAGGGCAAAGAAGAACCGAGAGAAATTATTAGGGGTTGCCCGAGTCTCCAAGCACATCCGCGTCAAATTCCGTCCATCTCCAGATAGAGTTGTCGGTTCTATATTGATCGATTCAAAACGACGTTCCAGTGCGAGCGCAAAAACATCCGACCATCGACGGTCGATGCGAAACGCGAAGTGAAAAGAAAAAAGAATCGTATTTACTTTTTTCCTTGTGTCCATGTAGAAACATGAAATGGGATTCTTACCATGCATACTTATGGGGTTCCTTTTCATGGAACAACCTCATTGGTTCTACATATTTTTTGAGAAAACAGGATTACCAGACAATTATATTTGCATGAATATTCAATACAAACTAAGTAATGAGTTAATGACAATAGAAGTAATTCAGATATCAGATAATTGTTCTCCACAGAACTGTTCTTGGGATGTTTTGCTATAACTATACTAAGTCTTATAAAAAGAAACTCTGATGAGGTGACAAAAGGAATTTAAAGATTTGACCTTTGTTTGCATCTCTTCCTGAATGACATGAGGGGAATGCTAGCATAAAATAATAAAAAATATTGTGACATTACCTAGAACGTGACAAGTTGAATTTTTTCATCCCAACTATGGCATGTGGTATCTTTCAAGTGAAGTCACACTTTTGCAATTTGGATGCTGGATGCTACACCTGGTGCACTAGACCTTCATTATAACTGTGAAATATTTTCCCCCAATACTCTTGTTGGTCAGCACAAGTTGACTTTACTCCCATGGAACCATTCAGTCTAAGGTTTTGGCAACAGAAGAAAGTTTAAACCCTCTAGAACCACATGAGAACTGTTGCAGTAAATGAGACAGGATGGAAATAAATCCATTGTCACTCATTTGCACAGAGATTTACTGATCAAGGAGGAAACTTGCACTTTGGGATAAGGATTCTCCAATGACATTTGGGAAATAGAAATAAAACTACAGATTCTTCACTCTTGTACTGCCCACCAAGTGGGTCAGATGTGTCAGGATACCCCAAAACTTGAAGCCCAACCCAGGTAACTTTTTCTGCTTCCAGCATGGATCTGGAATGAAAAAACACTGAAGCAATTTCCAATCCATAGTTATTCCAAATTCCAAACCTAAACATATGAAAAATATTTCAGGAAAACTCTCTTGAAACTCTTGAGCTGATGATGTGCATGAGTATGCCTGATAAGCAGTGTGAGGAAAGAAGTTTCACTATAACTGTTCTGAAAACTCAACATGACAGCATTACAGAATTATTTCACAAAAAGCCTTTCTACCTCAGGAAGCATTACAAAGAGAAGAAAGTGCTTTTTAGAGTTTATATCCATTGCACTTCCTAACAAGGACCAAAGACATATTAAAATTGAATTTTGTGACTCTTTGGTTCCTTTTCCTCCCATGCAGTTGCATATTTTTATTATGCTGCATAATAAGTTGCAGTAAGACTCCCAGATCAAGAGTGAACATCAATTCATGAAAGAGAATTGTGGCTTTGAACAAACACATACTGCTTCTTCAAGGCCCTTTCACAGTAAATCAAACCCTAGGATTGATGAATCCTCTTTAAATGAGGATACTGAGAAAAAATTTTAGCAGGCAAGTTTCAAATAAAGACTGAGCAAACTCCAGAAAAAAAAAGAAAACTCCCATAAGTTCAGGTCAAAATGTTGCTCCATGCCTACCACTCTATCACCATGGTTGGAAACTTTGCACATTCACTTGCTTCCAAGTAGAAACAAATGCAATCATGACTCACTGTAATTTCTCCATGATGGAATAAATGTGGGACCTCAGAAGGAGACCCAAGGATGTCAGCTGTAGAATTTGTCCATAAACGATGACATCTGAATTTTCATCTGCCGTCTCAGGAACTCGAGGGTGCTTCCCCAAACTAAGAATGGCAATTCAGTCATAATGAGTCCAAGGGAATAAATACAAAATTTATACCTCTGGGACACTCAATGTGGTAAAGGTCTGTACCTGGGCTCTCTGGAGGCCAATGAACCCATCCAGTCAAGAATTTCTTCAGCTCTCTCTACATCAGTTGGTCCAAATTTGGGAGAAGGAACAGAGTAAAAAATCTTCTCTTGCAGTCTCACTTTTTCTTCTGATACTACTAATCCCAAGTTGTCAAGGTAAGCAGCCAAGGATGAGGGACAAATCTTGGCATCTATGAATAAAAAATTTGATTGACACCACTCTCACAGGTAACACTTATCACCTTAACAGGTGATAAGTGAAGGAGTCACAAGATCTTGGAGTGACATATTCACAGTCTGGAACATAGCATTAAGCTTTAACACTAGAACTATCAATCATTTAGAATGCTTGCTGATTTTTAATGCACTTTACTCTGCTCATTTGGCAACTAAGGGCCTCTGCAGCTTTTACTTTTCCTATGTAGCTCTCTATAGAGACATCAAACACAAAAGAATACCCAAATATTTCCAGATCTTCACCAGTACTGGAAAGCTACAGATAAACCTTCATGGACATAAAAGATTGCAGCAAAGGAAACAGGGTACTGATATTGGAGTTCATGCATTAACATTAAACCTAAACAGGCAGAAAGATGAGCTGTCTAAACATTCCTTTTAAGCCAGGTTTCTCCAAATCAAAATAAAAAATCAGGATATTTAATGCCCAAATGCTGAAGGAAGGCAGACAGGTGTTATGTAGCCTGGAAAAAGCCAGATAATGATTTTGAATCCTTACCATGTGGTTCCCAATTGAGGAGAATATCAGCTGTAAGCACATTCTTCTTGAAGATTTTCTGCAACTTCTCCAAAGACTTCTTGCTTCTCCCTTTCAAATCAACAGCAATTGCTGGGAAAGCAGTGAAAAAAAAAGGTTATCTTATATGTGTAAAAGTCTTCTATTTTTTGCCTCCAAAAGGGTCAGTGCCTACTAAAATGTGTTCACAACTGAATCATGACTAGCTGGTATATCCAGCAGGGCTGCCCAGAGGGGGGGGGGGGGGGCAAAGGGGGCAATCTGCCCCTGCCCCACGTATCAAGGGGTCCTAAGGGGGGCCTCCAAAGGGCCTTAAGTGGGTCCCCAAGGGGTCTCCGATTTAATTTTGCCCCAGGCCCCTGGAAACCTCTGGACGGCCTTGATATCCAGGGTCAAAACAAGACTAAGTTCCTATTTCTGAACTGATTCATGATGACTTCATTAATTTCAGCAATTTTACCACTTCATCTTTGCTGTAACAGGGTGTTTCTACAGGCTTTTTCCTAAATTGGGTCATAACTGGTCAGTCTATTACATTTGAAAGAGAACAAGAATATGTTCTTTCATACTTCAAGAACTTCCACAATTACATAATGATCTGAGAAACACAGAGAAGCTATGAGAAACACAAGTTGAGCATGCCAGAACACCCTAAGGCTACTTTTGTGCTGCCTTAGGGTGTTCCCCCTCCCCATCCCCATCTGAGGATTCATTAAGGTTCAATTATAACAAGCAGAAGCCACATTCATTAGTTCATGGAATAAATTTTTGAAACAATGAAATCATGTTTCCAAGACAGTACTAGTACGAGGGTCACTCAATAAGTTATCTACCTGAATAAGAAAGAAACATCCGAGGGGAAAAATAACACTTTATTTTTCAATGTAGTCACCTTTTAACTCAACACACTTATTCCACTTTGATTCCAAGGATTTTATTCCCTGGGAATAGAAGTCAACTTCTTGTCCATCAAACCAATCAGAAACGGTAACTTTCAGCTCTTCATTGCATGAAAATCTTTTTCCTCGCAAAATTTTTTTCAAGTGTCTGAACAGAAAATAGTCACTAGGAGCCAGATTCGGGCTGTAGGGAGGATGGTTGAGCTCCTGAAAGCCACACTCCCTCACTGCTGCCTGAACTTTCCATGATTTGTGGACGGGCGCATTGTCATGGAGAAGAAGGACCCCCCTTGACAACTTTCCTCTGCGTTTTTCCTTGATGGCATCATGTAAATTTTTCATGGTGGTAGCATAGGAATCGCCAGTGATTGTACACTTGTCTGGCATGAACTCAAGCAGCAGTAGTCCCTCGCTGTCCCAAAACACAGTGGCCATAATCTTTCCTGTAGATTTCTGAACACGAAATTTGCGAGGCGTTGGTGATCCCTCGTGCTTCCACTGCATGGACTCCTGCTTGGTTTTGGGATCCCAGTGATGAACCCAAGTTTCATCACCAGTTACTATTCTGGGGAAAAAAGTTTCCTCGATTTGTTTAGAAAACTTCAAGTTTTCCTTGCAGATGTCAGATCTGTTCTTCTTCTGAGCTGGAGTCAGCATTCTTGGGACCCATCGAGGACTGACTTTGGACATGTGTAATTTTTCATGAATAATGTGAATCACTGTGCCCTCTGAAATCCCCAGTTCATGAGCTAAAACAGAGACTTTGGTGCGACGATCCTCCAGTATCGCACTCTCCAATTTGTCACACATTTCCTGATCAGAAGCCTCCATAGGGCACCCCGACCTTGGGTCATCTTCAATTGACTCTCTTCCCCAATTAAACTGCTTGCTCCAAAATTTAACTTGGTAATAAGAAGGCGAAGACACACCATAAACGTTAGACATACGTTCATGAATCTCCTTAGGTGCTTTCCTTTCTTTGGTGAGGAATTTGATCACTGAACGATGTTCAACTTTCGTCAAATCCATGACACAGACTCAGGAAAAGAAATCTAATGCGCTACCACTTTGAATGGACTTGAGCCACTGAGCTGGTATAGTGGTGGGGCACTCACGAGACCTGTCAAGACATGTCACAGCAGGCACAGGCCTGTTGCTCATCCCTTTAATATTCAGGTAGATAACTTATTGAGTGGCCCTCGTAGCTATTGCAGTGCATGCTCTGTTAACTGTCCATTGGACTGAGCAGACATCATTATGAACCGTTTGTTCTATTATATATTGAAGGTATTTTTTTTACACTTCAATTATTGAAATGAATATCCCTTCTTGGGAAGCATTTTTCTCCATACTTCCCCAAAACAAAAATTGATCACACAGGACATGATTTTTGAACACCCTGGGAACATTACAACTCTGAATTTAATGTAGATGAATGTGTCACAAAAAACTATGTGTGTGAAGGTGTATTCAAAATTAAGAATCTTTCAACTTTGCAGTACTTTGGTTGCAATGGTTCTAAAGGAGGTCTATGCTTGCATATTTTGGAGTTTTCATGCTTATAGCAAGAATACAGTCATATTCAGGCAGGGTATTTGGTTGACTCTCTGAACTTGCATGGTCTTTAGTACCATCAAAGGAAATGTTAAAGTAGCAAATGAATGCAGGAACTTTAAGTGCCATTTCATAAATATTTTTCTTTCTTTTTGAGAAAAATAAGAATAAACATACCCAAATACCATAATTTAAAGCTTGCAATGCCTTAGGATTTCACCTTTAAGAGGGAGTCAGATAATATTCCAGTTTACAGCTTCTTTGCCATCATTCAACGACCCACTCACCCAAGAAGAAATTGACATTTCTCAAATGGTTTTCAAGAGACTCTTGCACGAGTCTCTATTAATATTGTCAATATTAACAAACTCACATCATATAACATCTTTTATTTAACTAGAAAATCACTTCATATCACCTTTGGAAGACATACACTTGGGAAAAAAAAGGTACACACAATCACATTTTTTAAATGAAATAATGCAAACCACTGAGAGGGAGCTCTAGGAAAGACATAATAAAAATCATGTGATGGCATGCAAACCTGGATTGGTATCTAGATCAATATTTTGAGATCTGATATAGGCTCTCAGGTTTTCCAGTTCTTCATTAGATATTTTGTTCCAACCTTCTAACTGGGTCAAGGACTGAAGGTTGGGGCATGTATCAATGAGGGCATACACACTGGCTAGGCTGAGATGATTTGTGTGGCGCATATGGAACTTAGTCAGTTTCTGCATTGAGTTCCGCTGAAGTGTAGAGGAAAGACATTCATCATTGAGGCCAACATGTGGACCCAAAATAATTTCCTCAATATCATAGCAGTGTTGGAGTAAGAACACAGTCTGTTCAACATCACAATCACAAACACACACAAGTTGCTGCAGATTCTGAAAGGGAGCGATCTCAAAAGTTCGGAACTGAAATGTTCCATAATTGTGGAATTCACAATTGAAAAACTTGAGGGATGTCAGATTGGGACATATTTGTGCTATATCCATCAGAGCAAATGTATCTATTTCATCAACATGCTCCATATGAAGTTCACTAAGTCTACTTCCACACCTTTTCAGAAGTAGGTTCACCTGGTCAGAGTAAAAATCAGCTGAAAGAAGATGCAGCACCTTTAGGTTCTCAAGACTTGCCAGAACACCCAAGTCTGAAATTCTGTCATCATGGAATAACGATACATACTCCACATTTGGGCACAGTTTAGCAAGGAGTTTCATCTGAACCTGGCTAGCATCTCGACATCGAAATTCTCGCAGATTCAGAGGTGTTAAGTTGCAGTATTTCCCTGTCATGTATTCAAGTACCTGACCCAGCTCATTGCAGCGATACAACGTCTGCAGATACTTTAGCTCTTTAAGCAAAAGGGCCAACCCTGGCACTTCCACTGAAGTGCGGAAAAGATTGATGCTTCTAAGTTCCTTGCAAAAGATTATCCAAGCTAGTCCTTGATCGGTTACATGCTGGGATCCATACACATCCAAATGCCTCAGCTTTGGACAGTGCTTGCCCAATGATCTGAGGACATCATCACTACAATCTGAATTCAGAGTGAAAGATACCAAGTTAGGCATATGTTGGAGACCATTGACAACAAATGTTGTCAATGATATTGTCAGCCATCCTCCTGATCCTGAACCAAGATCTAAAACTTCCAGGCTTTGCAGTGCATTCAGTCGATGGATCACAGCATCACGCATGAGTTTTGGGTAACGTGAGATGATGAGATGCTTCAGCCCAGGATAAAGTATAACCATGGCATGACCCAAGACAATATGGACTTCAAAAACAAAGTTTGTGGCAGATATAGCATTCTGGTATCTTCTCTTAGCTTTCTCAATGAGAACATCAGAATGATCTACAATGATATTAACAAGCTCATCATGGTGGAACCATGGGACACACGTGAACAGAAGTTCTTGGAGGGCCGATATACGATTCTTCAGACTCTCTTTCTCAGAACCTTCTTCTGTCACATATTCCCGAGGTGTCGAAAGTGCAAGATGACACACACCTTCATAAAATGTCCCAACACCTTCCAAAGCAAGCTTTGTCAATGTCTTTGGCTGCTTCAGGCGAGGCATGACCCCAAAGCTGAAAATTTATGAAGGTTGCATCAATGCTCATTAGGAGACAATATCAATCAGGGCTTTGTATATAACTTATTAACTTGCATGCAAGAACTAGCTAGTATATCCTGGCTACTGGGATAGTTACTTTATGCCAAAAAGGACTTGAGAAAGTCAAAGGCATAAAGCAGGAAAAATATGTAGCAGCTTGGAGGACTAGTAATATTAAAATGCAACATCAGATCAACAGATGGTATCAGTGCAAGTGACTAGAAAATTATCTCATATATCAGGAACTTGCTGTTTCCCAGCTTGTACCTAACACTTTTGTCACACTTTTGTGACAAAAGGTCTTTTACATGCAGGCTGATGTCTTTAGTTTATATGTAACATTTTCCATTAATAGATTCCTAATTAATTTGTTACATTAGGAAGGTCAGTCAATGCTTCCAGCGGTCATAATGCCACTAGCACATGGTCAGATCCAATAATGAACCAAACATATCACAATTTCCAATTTCTCATGTAAAAATTTTTAAACCTCATTGTAATTTAGATGGAACAAATAGTGGTACAGGATTACTCTACTATATTCAAAATTCTCAGTTGAGAATAAAAATCACATTCCTCTCACTAATCCAGTGGCATGAAGAATTGCATAAAAATAATTAAGAAAAATGGCTCAATTTCAAAAGAATCTATTTAGAACTCTGATGAATACCTAGCAGGTTTTAATTCATAATCAATTGAATAACTCCATAAAGAGAGCATGCAGTTGGTGAAACAGAATAAATTATTATGGGATCAGAAAAGGTAATGTGAGGAAAGCAAATACTATAATGCTCACCAAGATATGAGGATAAATACTTAAGAATTATAATTGTGATGGTAAATTCACATTAAAGATGAGGCTGAGTAACAAAATAGACTATTTACTTTCAATTGCATTTTGTTTCTGTTTTTCTCTGGCCAAGTTACCTCTCTCATCAAGTTACCAATTGAATTTCTTTATTTTTGGACCTCCTAGTAACAACTGAAAGCAGATGCTAAATCTCACAAGTCAGAACTCAGAATGGGTTCATTTAACAGCAACTCATTCCTAGTTGCTATGCATCAGATAGATGTCACAAATAGATTTCCTAAGGTGGCTTGAATGCAAGATCATAATGAGTCAAAGTCCAGAAAAATTGTCCTATAGTGATTCTGCATTGTAGAATCATTAAGACACACTCTACAATCTATTTCATCAAATGAGATACCCTCCTTGTTTCTGGCACCATTCAATTCTTTATACCTCATGTACTCCTGCTTTGATTTGCCTAAACCTAGGAAAAACCTATTTGCATACCCTGATGCCCATGTCCTACAAGAGAGGTTATCAGAGGGAGAAGCAAAGAAGATATCATGGCTAGAATGGGAAGAAATCAAACAAATAAAAGATAGCAACAGAATCATAATGAACTTGAAAGAGGAGGAAATTAATAATGCCAAAAATCAAAAGAAAGAGTGCCTGAAATATAGAGAGCAGGAATAGGTGGATGAATGCAGTATCCCAAAAACAGAGAGGCATACTTCACAACAGGGCAGACTATGGATATGGCCAAGTGACCCCAGCAAAAAATAATTTTAAAAAGTCTAAGTTAAATGGATGAATCAAGGGTATGGGCAGCACACTTTGCTATGTTAGGAGCATCCCAACTTGAATTGAGAGAGATCTAGCCTTCAGTTCTTTACTTAGCTTGAAAAGAGAAGTTTCAAGGAATTGCAAGGATGGAGAAATGTATCTGAAAAAAGTGAGGACAGGGGAAAGCAATTCTTCCATTAGAAGTGAAATTCTTAATAAATAGCAAGAAGGGCCAGCCAAGAACACTGCCTTGGATAACACCAGAGAGGATTGCTGAGGGTGCTGAGGTATAACCATGATCAGAAAGAAAACTGTAAATAAGGCAATAAAGGGATCATGTATAAAGTAATCCTAAAGTTTCTGTATTAACCTACTGTGCCACATCCTGCCTAAAGCTTCAGAGATATAAAAATAAATGTAGTAGTCCCACTCAAACTTCAGCATTTCCAATGTTGAATTTATTTCAGAAGCATTAACACAAATCACTTCCACAGCTTCAATTTTTATCACATCAGTTTCTAATGTAGGGCAGCTTGACCTGAGGTGGCACCACCACAGACAATACAGTGGCACATATATATTCAGGAAACAGATGTTAGAGGTTTCACATAATGATATCATTGTTCAGTCTTCAAGGAAGGAGAGCTTATGAGACCCATTTCATGGAAACCATCTCCATTCCTCAAAAATATAAAATAAAAGGGTTTGTTGCAAAATACGGAGTTTACCTTGTGCCTGTTGCTCGAGTCCCAAGAAATGGATAAATGTGAAAAAAAGAGAACTAGAAAGATTATATAGTCCAGATATCAGCAGCAACAGCATCAGATGGCACTCATCTATAGAGAAGACCCTATTGCTGGACCAAGCCTCTAGAACCAAAGAGGTTAGTCATAAATGTGGAACCTGGGTATCAAAAGTTCCAACATTGGAAAAAGTATAAAATCCATGAAGAATGAGGAGAACTAAATTTTTCAAGTTCTCTAATTGAGTCAGGAAGCAACCCAGTAAGGTACAACAAATAGAGCAAGGGCCATCAACCTCCAGGAAAACCAGGTCATGTGATCATCCAGTCCATAGAGCAACAGGTCTCAAGATAAGACAATTGGTTGGTCTCTCTTCCCTATCAAGCAAGGGTAACCAAAAAATATGTACTGTAAGCTAAATACTCATAAGGAGATGAAGTGCTTCTTGTCCTGTCCAGAAACAAACTGAAAATAGTATTGTGGCTGGCCTCACACTTTCCCAGAACTTGACCAAAAGTGTTACATCAAAATATAACAATTGTTTGGTTGCATTCCTAGGTCTAAGTTTTCAAGCATGGCTATTAAGTTAATCTTATTCTATTTGGCCATTTATTTGCCATTAACACACCAGATAGTTTATGCTAAGGAAACTATTCTTTAAGCAGAAAACCAAAAGTGTACTTTATGTCATCTGGAGTTCTTTTCACTGTAGACAATGAAGCTCTACTGCTCAGAAATGGTTAGAATCTGGGTGGCCCAAGAATGAAATTTCTCAGATTTATATGCTATATGTGGAACACAATACGAGTTAACAGCGGGAAACTTACTGCATGTAACATCCAACAATGAAATTTTACAAAAAATATCAAAGAATTTAGCCATTAAGAACCTGAATAGCAGCATTTTCTCCTTGCTTTGTTAAAATAGTGAGCACATCAATGGGCAAACCCTACCTGCTGCAGTATGCACAATGAAACATTCTTTAGTTGAACAGGCAGATGCAAACAAATATACTCATTCATTTCACATGCAGGAAAAATGGCTGTTACTTGGGTTCCAAAACATCAACTTCTTTCACATATTCATAAAATAACCCACATGCTAGATGTGATACCTTAAAAATTCATTGATTCTACCTATCACATTCTGTCAGCAGACATACATTTTAGTTTTTTTTTTTCCACGCAGTTATATATGTATAATGCAAGTTGCTATGTTGGTTGCAGATTCCTTCATATAATATGGAACCTAGCTATCACCAAATTATTGCTTAAATGTATGATGCCCATGCACCATATTACATTTGAATAATGAGAGGTTCTCATTCAATGACACCAAAATAAATTTCACATATCACTTCTGAAAAAGTTGTTTAAGTCATGCATCATTCTCAAATTGGAAATGGCTGAATTTTGACATCTATATCAGGAAGATCAGAAGGAAAAAAAAATGCTCACCAAACTTTTCAGGCTGATTTGATGGAACAGGTTTCCCTTGCAGACCAAGAAGTTCACACTGTTCTCGTGCTAGCAACAGCCTCAGTACCCCCTGAGAAATCACCCAGCTTGAATTTCCAAAAATGCTGACACCAACCAGTTTGCCTATATAGATTAAATTGATTTAGGTCAAGAGAAAATCCATGGTCTCCATCTCAAAATCACATAGAACTTACCATTTTTTATAAAATTTTCTATGAAACTGGATTGTGTCACAGCATCCAAAGGAAAGTTCCTCACACAATATGATTCTGTGTCCAATGATAACAAATCCTGTAAATCAGTAGGGAGATGCAATGTGTCTGGCAATGTGATCACCACCTACAAAGTACCAGTAATATACCTCTATTGAGGAAGGGTTCATCTGATCAGAGGAAGGTTCTGATTAACATGGAAGCCAAGTTAATGATATGGGAAATACTGCTCTTCCAAAGATTCACTATCAGTGTAAACACTGACATTTCCACTTCATCAGTATTGTAGTTTAATAAAAAACAAACTGAGTCCAGATCTTGATAAATGGGCTGAATCTTGATGTAGACATCAATGGGATCAACTCAGCAATTATCATGAATTCAAAAATAAAATGAGTTAAGAGTCAGGATCCAGTCATTTAACAAACCGATTCACAGAATAGAAGCTCGCTGGGAAGAGATGATTGAGATGCAGGAATATCATCAATAGAGACATCAAATTCTTCACCAATTGCTGATCTCCCATCAAAAAGCCACGCCTCTGGATTCAACATCAGTGAACTCTGTCAAGCAAGAACAGGCTAATATAAGCAGATGACTGTGTTTCCCTTCTTGCTTCATGCTTTTACTTTCTCATTCCTCTTACAAACTTCCCCTGGATTTTTATCAAACTTAAATGCAGATTTAATTTTTTTTTTCCCAACAGGCCCTACATATCAAAAGGAAAACACATAACAAAGGCATATATAAGGAAAAGAGGAGGGACTAGTTGGAGGGGTGCCTCAAGTTAATACTATGGTGATGTTCTTCATCATCCAAAGTATCTATCAGAATATTTTCGTGGAAATGGATCTACTTTTTGAATGCATCTGATACATGATATGATGAACTGGTGGGGAAGGTAGCAGTACAAATATGCATTTCAAGGTTTCTGTGATGACTTTACCATGACAAGATT